AGCTCGAGGGTATGCGAGCCGAGCACCTTCCAACTCCGCCCCTGAGGAACTCGTTTCGGTCCCTTGCGACTATTCGGCCATCCTAAACCATTACAGAGGACTTAGGAAAGCTTATTCGCTACCACACCGAACACTAAATAAAGAGGAATCGGTCAGCTGGAGGTAAATTCAAACCGGCACGTTTCCAAATTTGCACATCCTGAGTAAAATGCACCCCTCGGCATACTCTCCTCTCTGCCCATGGTGTTCAGCTAAAGCCACTCTGTACCACGTCACGTGGGACTGTCAGGCCATTACAGCCTTACAACCAGTACAAAATCCAACAGCGGAGCAATGGGAGGAGCTGCTGGCCAGCGAGAACCTGGAAGATCAATTGAGTCTGATCAACCGGGCCCGCAGAGCGGCTGCTGCAAGCGGAGCCCTGGACTAAGGGCCCCCCCACCGCAAGCCAAGCATGTCCGACTACTCGGAGCTTCTCCGCAGAAAATTTCATGTAATTAAATAAATAAATATGTTTCCACCACCATCGCGTCCGTGACTTATTCGGTAGAGCGTCGCGCTGCGGCCCGCCAAGTTCTCTTTCTTTTAAAGATAGAGAGAAGACTTCTGACGCCGCCGACGGCGGTGGATGATTTGGGGTCGCTTATAAAGTGTATTCACACTTGAAATAAACACAGGTGCTACGCGTCTCCACGTAGCGCAGTATTGCTCTGAGCAATATAGAGCACGTAAGAGTATTTTTAGGGGCGAAGCTCATTATGGAGTGGCTTGTGCATCCCCTGTTGTGGTTGTGCGTAACATGAGGCACATACCCGAACCAGTGGCACGTACCCGCCCTCGGGCACATATCCGCATCTCCACATGTTACGGAAAACGTAGCACGGCGTCGGTGTCACGCTCTTGGTGTTAACAATGCGCTGACAGCAGGTTACCTACTCTAGTTTAGTCCTTGGATTGTCCGCTGAATGGCGGTACTTGTATATGAAGAATATATGATAAAAAGAAGCGAGATGGCGTTACTTGAAGTGTTCACTAGATGGACCGACGCACAGACAGACAGACAGACAGACAGACAGACAGACAGACAGACAGACAGACAGACAGACGGACGGGCGGGCGGGCGGGCGGACGGACGGACTAACGAGCGCACGCACCGACGGATGCCCGAACGGACGGACGGATGGACGCACGGACGGATTGACAGGCGCTTGCTGAACTCATCCTCATTCAATTCGTGGATATGGATGGATGGATGGATGAATGGATGGATGGATGGATGGATGGATGGATGAACTTTATTTGGTCCATCGGAACCAGGTTTATCTCTTTGCGGGCCGCTCCCTCGTCAGAACAGAAAGACCGTCTCTCTGCTGCGTCGCGGGTCCGGTGGACTGCCCATAGCTGTTGTTCAAGTCCGGAACTTGCAATAGCACCCTCCCAATTGGACGGCGTGACGTCTACCCCACAGCGTAACGCGGGGCACCGCCAGAGCATATGTTCCAAGGTAGCGACAGTGAGCGTCAACCACGAGTGGGTGATACCACCCTCGTGGTTGACGCTCACTGTCGCATACGCCTTGCCATCGTGATATCGGGGCGCATCGACGAAGGAGCAGTCCCCGGCATGTTCTTGAGCCCTTTGTAATAGAGCCTTTGCCCTAGCCCGTCTTCTACCCTCGTTATGCTGTTATTCTTTTACTCAGCCATACTTGGCAATTAGCAAATATTGCTTAATGAAGTTTTAAAGAGTAATATAGAAAAATACAATGAAAAAGTTGTAGCCCTTGTTCAGAAGCAGCACTATTTTTGTTAATTATGCGTGCATATTTTCGCCATGGTTAAGTACTGTCTTTGTTTTACTAGCCATAAGTCATTTCTCACAGGTTAAATTACCTCAACTTTGTTTGGAATTGACATAAATTCGTACCAGCATTACACCCAATTTGGCCAGTGTGCATAAGTCACAACAGTACTATTTTATGTTATTTTTACTGAGCAACAAACATGACCAAGTGAAGTCAGTCAACTTATTCTATTGCAAGGGTGAAACGAAACTGAGCTTACACATTGACAGATTTTCATATGTTTACTTGATGGTCATGATACACAACAATATGTCATATATAACAATTACGCAACAGGCCTAAACGCTCTCATTTCCGAAATAGATCACCTGAAATCAGTTCTCCTGTAGTTTACGAACGAACTCAGTTAATAGGTGCCTTTTGCAATGTTGCACTCACTTCAGTGTTGGACGTTGTGCGACGTTGTCTTCAGCGGGCTAAGTCATTTCCTTCAGTGGCCATCCCCTTCATACTGAAGACTTTCAGGACTCGTAGGGTCTCGAAAACATCTTGCACTATCTCACCAACAGCACACGTGAGCTTCACTGAACGATGACGGCGCGAAAATTGACAGTCTTGGCGTCATGATGATCTCATGACACATTATGTTTGCTCGGTAAAACACCGGAGAATTACATAGACATTGTAGTGGTGAAGGAGCAAGGTAATGGCCACTTGGACCAGTGGGAAAGTGAGTTTATTCACGACGTCTGGTAGCAGGCACACAGGCAGTACAGCGAAAAACGGGCTCAGCGTCCAGAACTCGCGCTTTGTTCCAAGAGTTGGTCCCACTCAATACCTAGCTCTTTCACCAGTACATCTAAAAGCAGGTTTTTGTTATCATGTCGTCTTAGGCAAATGTATAAGAGAACACATTTCTTAGTCGGGCTATTCCAGGCGATCGGTGTTATTAATGTTGTCCGCGCACCGGCAGGTGTTATCTCTTCACTCTCACTCTCTCTCCCATAGCAACAGCTACGAGAGCGCCCGCTTATCCTCGCCCCTCGCAACCAGAGCAAGTGGTGGTGGTGGTGGTGGTTGTGGTTAGAAGAAAGCGCCTAATTTCTGCATACCGGTTGGGAGCACGACAAAGCACCTACATGCAGTGCGAGCGAGTGTATGAGAGGGTAGGTGCCAGTGCTTCGCTGCTTCTTTTCTCACCGTTCACTCTCTATCCTTCCTGCGCCCCACTTTCCCGTTCGCTCACGCCTCATTCTCGACAATTCGCTGGCTGGGCACCTCTCAAGAACATCGGTGTGCTCGAGAGAGATGCCGCTGTGAAATGCTAACGCCATGGAACGTTGTTTGTTTTGTTCACATATAGCATTAGGGGCGAAGCTCCTTAAGGCGTGGCTTGTGCGTCCCTCGTAGTACGTAACCACCAGTGGCACATACCTGAAATAGGTATAACATTTGACCTCCAAGGTGGTGCCGGTGAGAGATTTCTTCTGTGCGTTGTTTAACAATAAAAAATAGTGCTCAATGTACATGCCAATGGCTGCTAATGGGGAATGAGAGACAGGAGCATTCAGCTTTTAGTCAACGCGCACGCTGTGATCCCCATTATCAGCCATTGGCATGTACAATGAGCACTATCGGACAAGAAAGGGTTGCTACATTATACTCGCTGGGTGTAACCTCCTTAGTTTTAGAAAGGTTTAGCGAGCGTTGAGCCGCAGGGCCATGAATACAATGAACTAGTATATACCATGAATGAATTCGAGGTGGTTAAAGGGGGGAAGCAGATACGAAGCGCAAGCCGTGAGAAATTAAAAGCTGAATCCTCCTGTGTCTCATTTCACATTAGCAGCCACTGGCATGTACATTGAGCACTATCTGACAGGAAAAGGTTGCTACGTTATACTCGCTGTGCGTAAACTCCTTGGTTTTACAAAGGTTTAGCGGGCATTGGGCCGCAGTGCCATGAATACAGTGAACTAGTATATACCATCAACTCAAGGTGGTTGAAGGTGGGAAGTGGACCCGAAGCGCAAGCCGTATGAAAGTGTGCGTGTGCCACCTCTCGTTTAGTCCTTGGAATGTCGACTGAATGGCGGTGCTTCTATATGAGGAATATATGATAAAAAGATGCGAGATGGTGGGACTTGGAGTGTTGAATAGATGGACGAACAGACACACAGACAGATGCATGGATGGACGCATGAACGGACGCAGGGGCGGATGCATGAACGAACGCAGGGACGGGCGCACGAACAGACGCATGGACGGTCACACAGACGGCCGCATGGACGGACGAATGCTTCGCCCCACTCTCCATCATTCACTCCGTGGATATGCTGCCATTTTTTTAACCGAAAACACTTACCACGTTTCTCGCGACAGAAAAATAGCGCCATTCGCCACTGTGTGGTGAATGGCGCTATTGGCTATACGGCGTTAAAAAAAAAAGAAAACCCTATTCTTCTAACGCTGGGTTCTCACGCGCAAAACGGCGTTATGGGTGCTACGCGATTTATTCACATTTTCTCATGATTCCCATCGGGGACATGGGGCATTTTAGGGGCGAAGCTCCATAAGCCGTGGGTCGCGCATCCAAAATGTATGCAGTAGTAGTAGTAGTAGTAGGAGTAGTAGTAGTAGTAGGAGGAGGAGGAGGAGTTTTTGGGGTAGTAGTTGTTGTCGTTGTAGTAGTAGTAGTAGTATTAGTAGTCGTCGTAGTAGTAGGTAGCCTCCTCTCGTTTAGCCCTTGGAGTGTACGCTGGATGGTGGTACTTCTATATGATGAAAAGATGCGAGATGGCCGTACTTGAAGTGTTCACTAGAGAGACGGATGGATGGACATACAGACAGATGCACGGACGGATGGATGAACGGACGCGTGGACCGACGCACCGACAGAGGCACGGACAAATGGATGGATGGACAGACGCACGCACGAATGCAGGGACGGGCGGCCGAACACACGGCCGAAACGCTGACGGACGCATGGGCGGATGCACGAACAGGCGTACAGACGGGTGGACGCGTGGACGAACGGAAGCAACAACAGACGGAAATGTGGACGCACGCTTAGCCCCACTCATCACCATTCACTCCGTGGATATGCTGTGAACCTTTTTTTTCCCGCTTCTCCGGGCTCACATCAACTGGAAACGTTAACCACCAGGAGCAAGAAAGCATTGAGGTAAACACATACCAACGTCGAGGCCTTCAATGGCGTCGCCTCTTAGCGACGTGGACCGGAAGTCGTAGCGGCGCCCGTTAATCTCCAGATGTCGAATGCAGCCCACTAATCCTTCCCTGACGCCCAGCCTGCCGGCAGCGAGGCTAGCGTTGGGAGACCCGCCGAGGTAGACGTTCAGCCGCAGAGTTATCCTCGAGAACAGGCCCTGGCAACGCAAGAGAAACAACGTATACGTTATGAGGCTCACAGGTAGCAGTAAAGAGGGACACTAGAGAGAAAGAACGGTAAAAAAAAAAGTCAGGAAGGTTAACCCGGGGAAGCCACTGATTTTCTAACAGTATTTGGGAGGGGGGAAAAGGGTGTAAAAGAGTAAAGGATAATGTAAGGCTTTATGTTCCACAACCAATTAGAAGGCTTGAGAAATATCGACCACTTCGTGCTCTTGAAACGTTAACTGCGGCTATTTTTCGATATTAACCTATTTCAATAAAACTTTAAACATGTGTTCTCGTCAGTACCGTGGTAATACCTGCCAAATTATACAAGCGTAAGTCATTTACAATTTTAGAAAACCAAATTTAAAATTTGGTAGCCAACTCGGGAATCCCACTTGCAAATGCAGGCCCCTCCTTCTACGTGACGTAAGTGCTCACTCTTTTTTCAAAACCCCAACTTGCCCAGCAGACGGATGCAGCACGCTATTTTTATTAAAGCGACAACGACGCGAGCAGAGTTTAGTTTTGTCAGGTGCATACAGCGTCTTATTGGTCGTTGACATTGGGCCTTACACTAGCATGCACAATTCCGAGCAACTAAAAGATCGATTCGGGTCATGTCAAATGCTTTACGCGACGCTGGGTCGAAATCAAAAAGCGATGCTTCCACCCTCAGGTAGTAGCTGCAATTATCACTGAAGTTGTCACTGGTAAATTCAGACGAGCTGGCACAGCTATATTTCGCTTCGGCTGACATCCCCAGTTTGCTTATTGCGCGTCAAGAGGCACGCGAGCTATTTTTATACCTAGGCCAGCCGTGGCGGTGTGTAGCCGATTTAGTGACCACATCAGATACAGATTTCGTGACGTCAACCGATACCCACTATGGAGGACGGAGTAGCTCCCAGATTTTTGTTTCTGCTTCGACTCGTTGTCCATAGCTTATATGTAATCATTGACAAGTGTCTGGGCAAAACAAACCGCCCTAGCTGTTACAGGACTGTCAATACTATCTGAAAATGCCATTATCTCTTCATTGTAACGAATGCACTGGAGTTCCCCTTTAACGTGCAATGGCATCGCACAGAACAGGACACTCTAGCATTCTGCATCCCCCAAAATGTGTGTACAGGTATACTGGATATTAAGTTAAGGGCAAGTACATTGCAGGCGTTCAGTAGACAATTCAAGGTCATTGGTAAAACGCAAGCAGGGATTGTAAGGTTACTCCTAAAAAAATCAATACAATTACATTGCCAGGCACTCTTTTCTAACATTTCTAAAGATCTGCATTACAAAGTTCGTCTGGCTAAGACCAATGACAGTACATTACCATTTCTTTCGACATGTAAATATATTGCAGTGACAAAAGTCAGCAAGCATACAGCCACCGTCTAGCCCTCCTGTCTGTAGCTTCAATGAGTGTAATCTTCAAATAACATTTGTCATTTCTTTAAGATGAGATGTTTCGCACGTTTTTTGTGGGCCCATCTCATCCAAAATATGAGGTTTTGTACTCATTGCCTTTTATTTGTTACCTTGGTTTCCTTAATTGGTCCAATTGCCATGCCATAAGACAAGCGGACATGCCATATTACTGTCAACAGTATCTTGGAAACCGACGATTAATTTTCTTGAATATACACACTTGAAATAATTTGTTGCATTACAAGATTACCACACCAAGTCGCCAAGATAATTCATCACTAAAAAAGCAAGAAAAACTAATTTCATTACTGCTAAGTCTACACAACAGCATACGGCGGGCTACACCATCACTGGTTGTACTCACTTTGGAACGTCCTTGAACCTGGTGGCCGCTGTTCAGCTGCATCCAAGCGTCCCATCGGTCCCTGTACACTGTGAGCGTGTTCCAGGCGTTGAGCAGCACCGGCTGATCGCTGCGCAGTGTTCCAGGACCCATGCCACAGTCGAACCTGTTCACAAGCAAGCAGTAATGTTTCAGGGTAATGGCTAATTGATGAGCTCTTGATGTTCGAAGTCACTACAAGGGACGTGAAAATTTCAGATATTCACATTCCCCTATCATGACATCTGTTGTGGAACGCCGCCCTTATATAGGTAGCGCCGCGAGAAAGATGCAGCTACCGGACACCCACCAAAACCTCTATTGGCAACAATCAAATGCACAAACATTCGTGATGACGATAATGGGGAATGCACCCTTTGGCACTAGCTGTTGAGACAGCAGCTCCAGCCATTCTTCTTTATTCATCGTCTGATGATCTCCGAGAACATCATCACTTGAACTATAAAAAAGGCGTTGATCCCGGAAGTGCGGCGACACCAAGCGACATGCAGAAAGCTTTGATATGGGAGGTGATTCAAGTGACCGAGTGAGTAAAAACAATACACTTCGCCTGTTTTTAGTCTTTTCTGAAGAGAACGTCACTTTATTTATGCCTTTTTATGTATTTATTAATGGAATAACAATGATATAGACACTCTCGGCTGTATTTCGCTGACGGCATCGGCGTCGCCATTATTCATCATATATGTATATGTATTTATATATATGAAAACACCAGAAAGAAAACTAATCTAGAAAAAGACTTCAGCTTGCGGAATCGAACGTCCGACCTTCTGCTTGTACGTGCGAGGCGTTAGCCACTGAGCCACGAGGGATCACCTCCTTCAACGTTGAAACAGCAAGCTATTTATATCTGCCACCTATGCTGGTGATGGCCATCCTGGGGCAAATTTTGTGTTTTCAGCATTACCAACGAGGTGGCGCAATGAGCGCACGTTGCCAGATCGTCACGATGCGGTGACACGAGCTGATTCGTTCATTTCGCACGTGTAATTTGCCCTGTGGAGGTGGGTGGGTAGACGTTCACGCGTGTGCGCGCTTATCTCGCGGTGGGAAGAATCATCCGCCTTGGGCTTTCACCAGAAAGATTCTGTTGCTGTTACTGGGTGCACAAAGGTCTCTGCACTCGCTGCACAGCCTCCGGTTGCAAAAAGTGCACCCTTTTCCAACATAGGGAAGTAATAGCGAAACACTTATTCACATTCATCTATATTTGTCAGTACGTTTCGTGCGTAATTTGTGCTTTAGCAACGCGGGGCACGTTTGGGTGTGCTTGTCATTCTTCGCGTGATTTTCTCTTTTGTTGCTATCGCATTCCTTGCTTCGCCTTTGCGGAAAAACTGTGATTCTTTATTTGTTTATGTGTTTATTTATTTATTTATTTATTTTGTTAAGCGGTTTATTGATGGACACTCAGCGATGATTCACGACAGCGACAGTCAATGCGGGGATCGACTCTCTGCACGAGCTGCTCTTCTTCTTAAGAAAAAGGGCGACCCACTAGAAGGCGCTGAAGAGGATGACCCACTGTTCAAAGGCTTTACCACAACTACCCCGGGTACGAAAAGGGAGCCGCCTGGCGACCTAACAGCTGGTTACAATGAGCGGGTCATGGTAGGCCTTGAGGCGCTCCACGTTAACAATGTCGCGTCCTCGACGACGCATGTCCGAAGATTGTTCGATGGGTTCAATCAAGTAGTTGACTGGGGAAGTGCATTTGACGACACGGTAGGGGCCTTCGTATTTAGGCAATAGTTTTGAAGATAGGCCAGTTGCAGTAGTAGGGATCGAGAGCCAGACGAGCGCTCCAGGGAGGAATGTGGGTGCAGTAGTACTGGCGTCAGCGCGAATGCTTTTTTGCCGCTCTTGATCATGCGCAGTAAAGGTCTTTGCAAGCTCTCGACATTCTTCAGCAAGCTTGGCTGTAGCAGAAATAGGTGCCCACTCAGACGGATCTGGCCTGTACGGAAGTATCGTGTCAATGGTGTGTGACGGGTGCCTTCCATATAATAAAAAGAAAGGTGAAAAGCCAGTAGTGCTCTGAGGGGCGGTATTATATGCGTAGGTGACGAAGGGTAGAATGGAATCCCAATTTGTGTGATCGGCGGTGACGTATTTGGAGAGCATGTCGCCCAGCGTACGGTTGAAGCGTTCTGTGAGGCCATTCGTCTGCGGGTGGTAAGCAGCAGTTTTGCGGTGAACAACGTTGCACTCTTTGAGAATGGCTTGAACGACTTCAGACAGGAAGACACGGCCTCGGTCACTGAGCAGTTCCTGGGGTGGGCCGTGTCGCAGGATGAATCGTTGGAGCAGAAAGGAAGCCACATCGCTCGCTGTAGCCGCGGGAAGAGCGGCCGTTTCGGCGTATCGCGTGAGGTGGTCCACAGCAACAATGGCCCAGCGGTTACCAGCCGACGTTAGTGGAAGTGGCCCATACAAATCGATGCCAACGCGCCCAAACGGCCTGGCAGGGCAAGGTAGAGGTTGCAGACCTACCGGCGACAGGTGCGTTGAAGTTTTGCGGCGCTGACATTCTATGCAGGAGCGAACGAATTTCTGCACGTAGCGGTACATGCCGCGCCAAAAGTACCGTTGGCGAATGCGGTGGTAAGTCTTCGATACCCCGGAGTGCGCACACTGCGGATCAGAATGAAATAATTCGCATATGTCAGAGCGCAGACTGCGAGGTATGACTAGTAGCCACTGGCGGCCGTCACCGTTGTAATTGCGTCGATGGAGGAGGTCGTCGCGAACGGCGAAATGGTGGGCTTGACGACGCAACGCGCGAGTGAATGGAGTGGATGGATCAGTCAGCAAGTCTATCAGTGAGGCAATCCATTGATCCTTGCGCTGTTCAGTAGCAATAGCATGAATGCTAATCGAAGAAATGGCAAGGTGAGACACTGAGTTGTTGGCATTGTCGTCAGGCAAGGGAGAGCGCGACAGGGCGTCGGCGTCAGCATGTTGCCTTCCATTGCGGTACAGCACGCGGATGTCATAGTCTTGCAGGCGAAGTGCCCACCGGGCGAGACGGCCTGAGGGATCTTTCAATGACGACAACCAGCATAGTGCGTGGTGGTCGGTGACGACATCAAATGGGCGACCATACAAATAAGGTCGGAACTTTGCAAGGGCCCAGACGATTGCCAAACATTCTTTCTCGGTGACTGTGTAATTAGTCTCGGCTTTAGTAAGCGTACGGCTCGCGTACGCCACGACATATTCCGGGAACCCTGGTTTGCGCTGCGCAAGGACAGCGCCGAGGCCGACACCACTGGCATCCGTGTGTACCTCTGTAGGGGCCGTAGGGTCGTAGTGGCGGAGTATGGGAGGCGACGTCAACAAACGACGAAGTGTTCTGAAAGCGTCGTCGCACTGTGATGACCACGAATGGAGAGGCCCGTTACTTCCGAGAAGCTTCGTCAGCGGCGATATGATAGTCGCGAAGTTTCGAATGAAGCGCCGAAAGTAGGAACACAGTCCTACGAAACTGCGCAGTTCCTTCACGAATGTCGGCTTGGGGAACTCGGTCACGGCCCGAAGCTTGGTTGGATCAGGAAGAATTCCGTCCTTGGACACGACGTAGCCGAGTATTGTCAGCTGCCGAGCTGCAAATTGGCACTTCTTTAGGTTCAGTTGCAGACTGGCGTTTCTCAGACGCGTTAAAACATGCCGAAGGCGTTGAAGGTGCGTCGAGAAGTCAGGAGCGAAAACGACGACGTCATCGAGGTAGCACAGGCACGTGTGCCATTTCAGGTCACGCAGAACTGTATCCATCATGCGCTCAAAGGTGGCGGGCGCATTGCACAGCCCAAACGGCATAACGTTAAACTCGTACAAGCCGTCGGGGGTGACAAAAGCGGTCTTTGGTCGAGCGTCCTCAGCCATAGGCACTTGCCAGTACCCTGAGCGCAAATCGAGGGATGAAAAGAATTCTGCTCCTTGCAGGCTGTCAATCGCGTCATCTACCCGCGGTAGTGGATACACGTCCTTACGAGTGATCTTGTTGAGGCGTCGGTAGTCCACACAGAACCGCACAGAACCGTCCTTCTTCGTGACGAGAACGACAGGAGATGCCCAGGGGCTGCTAGAGGGGCGAATAACATCGCGGCGAAGCATGTCGTCGACTTGCTCGTTGATTACACGGCGTTCTGTGGGAGATACGCGATATGGACGTTGCCGCAGCGGTGGCTGTGTGCCTGTGTCGATGCGATGCGTAACGGTGGATGTGCGGCCGAGAGAAGGTTGAGCGACATCGAAAGAAGAGCGGAATTCTTCCAACAGGCCCAAAAGCTGGGAACGCTGGCCCTGCGTAAGGTCGTCGGGTATGCAGGGACCGAATATATCGTCGGATGATGAAGCAGATGTCGAAACAGCACCAAGCGTACAGGAACTTAGGTAGTGCATGTCATCGGGTTGATCCATAACTTGCGCGTCTTCGATGGGTTCCACGCTGCCGAAACATTCTCCTCGCACCAACGTAACGCTGTACGGAGATGGGTTCACAACAAAAATAGTGGTGCTGCCGTGAGTGAGTTGGACGGTCGCGAAAGGAACCAGCAAGCTTTTTCTTATGAAAACACGATGAGATGGCGAGAGGAGTGCAGCGGTGTCAGAAAGGCTTGCGCAGTAGAGCGACACCGCAACGGACGAGTTTGCAGGCACTTGAGTGTCGTCTCTGACGAGTAACTTGCTTGCAGCGGATGGACTGTCGGCCGGCGTCAAAGAAGAGAATGGCGCGAGTTCTATTTCTGCTGGTGCGCAATGAATGACGGCGTCGTGGCGGGAGAGAAAATCCCATCCTAGAATGACGTCGTGAGAGCATGAAGAAATTATGATGAATTCGACCGCATACATCACGTCCTGAATCATAAGGCGGGCTGTGCACATCGCTGTAGGGTGAATTCTTTGGGCGCTGGCTGTACGGAGGGAGAGCCCGCAAAGCGGCGTGGTCACTTTGCGCAGTAATCGGCAAAGTTTTTCGTCCATCACGGATACGGCGGCTCCAGTATCTACAAGGGCAGATGCACGAACGCCATCCACAAGCACGTCTATCACGTTCGACGGGCTTTCCTGAGGGCTTCCGCAGTTCGACAGCGTCGCAGC